TGAACGCGCAAGCCATAGGCCAACAAGTGTGATAATTTTCTTAACTTACGATCTCGTTTACTATAGTGCAAACAAAGTTCCGGTCTGTCAATACGAATGACATAAAAGCTGACACCAAAACTTTAAAACAATAACATCCACCATAACAATATAATATAAATTCAAACACAAAACAAGAATAAATAAGTAACTATGTATAAGAAATGAGCATTTTTGTTGTTTAAGATTCGCCACCTGGAACAAAAAGCTCCAAGCAGCACGGGCTATGGTGAGCCCGAAAAAAATGAATAAGAAATGACTAACAATGAAAAAGAATATGTAATGTCTTAATAACAGGCACAGTAAACTATACAGGTTAGTGAAGCAGGACGCTAAAGACGGACCCTCCCCCAAACCATTAGTGTGTGGAGGGCAACAATGACTGTGTGTGGTCATGAACCCATCTTCCCCCATTACCTCTCTTACAGGGAGGGATGGGCAGGACAGGTGCACTGACACACCTCTCTTACAGGGAGGGATGGGCAGGACAGGTGCACTGACACACCTCTCTTACAGGGAGGGATGGGCAGGACAGGTGCACTGACGCACCTCTTACAGGGAGAGATGGGCAGGACAGGTGCACTGACGCACCTCTTACAGGGAGGGATGGGCAGGACAGGTGCACTGACGCACCTCTTACAGGGAGGGATGGGCAGGACAGGTGCACTGACGCACCTCTTACAGGGAGAGATGGGCAGGACAGGTGCACTGACGCACCTCTTACAGGGAGGGATGGGCAGGACAGGTGCACTGACGCACCTCTTACAGGGAGGGATGGGCAGGACAGGTGCACTGACGCACCTCTTACAGGGAGGGATGGGCAGGACAGGTGCACTGACGCCGCTCCTTACTTACCTGGCCGTCACAGTCACTACTTATCAACAGCTCTTCATAATTTACGTTACTTTGTCCATTATTATTAATTATACTAAAAGCACATAAAACATTAACATAACAATAACAGGTACACTAAAATCAGTCCACATTACTGCTTGGTGTGTCCACATTATTGCTTAGTGTGTCCACATTATTGCTTAGTGTCTCCACATTATTGCTTAGTGTGTCCACATTATTGCTTAGTGTCTCCACATTATTGCTTAGTGTCTCCACATTATTGCTTAGTGTGTCCACATTATTGCTTAGTGTGTCCACATTATTGCTTAGTGTGTCCACATTATTGCTTAGTGTGTCCACATTATTGCTTAGGGTGTCCACATTATTGCTTAGGGTGTCCACATTATTGCTTAGGGTGTCCACATTATTGCTTAGGGTGTCCACATTATTGCTTAGGGTGTCCACATTATTGCTTAGGGTGTCCACATTATTGCTTAGGGTGTCCACATTATTGCTTAGGGTGTCCACATTATTGCTTAGGGTGTCCACATTATTGCTTAGGGTGTCCACATTATTGCTTAGGGTGTCCACATTATTGCTTAGGGTGTCCACATTATTGCTTAGGGTGTCCACATTATTGCTTAGGGTGTCCACATTATTGCTTAGGGTGTCCACATTATTGCTTAGGGTGTCCACATTATTGCTTAGGGTGTCCACACTATTGCTTAGGGTGTCCACACTATTGCTTAGGGTGTCCACACTATTGCTTAGGGTGTCCACATTATTGCTTAGGGTGTCCACATTATTGCTTAGGGTGTCCACATTATTGCTTAGGGTGTCCACATTATTGCTTAGGGTGTCCACGTTATTGCTTAGGGTGTCCACATTATTGCTTCGGGTGTCCACATTACTGCTTTGGGTGTCCACATTACTGCTTCGGGTGTCCACATTACTGCTTGGTGTGTGTGTGTACATTACTGCTTGGTGTGTGTGTGTACATTACTGCTTGGTGTCCACATTACTGCTTGGTGTGTGTGTGTACATTACTGCTTGGTGTGTGTGTGTGTGTGTACATTACTGCTTGGTGTGTGTGTACATTACTGCTTGGTGTGTGTGTGTGTACATTACTGCTTGGTGTGTGTGTGTGTACACATTACTGCTTGGTGTGTGTGTGTGTACACATTACTGCTTGGTGTGTGTGTGTGTACACATTACTGCTTGGTGTGTGTGTGTGTACACATTACTGCTTGGTGTGTGTGTGTGTACACATTACTGCTTGGTGTGTGTGTGTGTACACATTACTGCTTGGTGTGTGTGTGTGTACACATTACTGCTTGGTGTGTGTGTGTGTACACATTACTGCTTGGTGTGTGTGTGTGTACACATTACTGCTTGGTGTGTGTGTGTGTACACATTACTGCTTGGTGTGTGTGTGTGTACACATTACTGCTTGGTGTGTGTGTGTGTACACATTACTGCTTGGTGTGTGTGTGTACACATTACTGCTTGGTGTGTGTGTGTACACATTACTGCTTGGTGTGTGTGTGTACATTACTGCTTGGTGTGTGTGTGTACATTACTGCTTGGTGTGTGTGTGTGTGTGTACATTACTGCTTGGTGTGTTTGTGTACATTACTGCTTGGTGTGTGTGTGTGTGTGTGTGTACATTACTGCTTGGTGTGTGTGTGTACATTACTGCTTGGTGTCTACGTAACGGCTTGGTGTTCACATTACTGCTTGGTGTCCAAATTATTGTTTGGTGTGTGTACATTACTGCTTGGTGTCCACATTACTGCTTGATGACAGGAGCTGGTGGTGGTAATTGGAAATGATGAATTTTGAGCTAGTTTGAGTGAATCTTTTGTTGTGTGTGAATTGTTTGCAGAGTTGTTTGGCAGTTTTGAGTCTTTATTTTCTGTGATTCCACCAGTTGTCTATAGCTTTACTGACTTTATGGATGCTTTCCCAGTGGGGGTGGTGAATTGTCACTCAATCCCTGTGCCTCTGTGAGGGGAGGCCAGGCTCTGGTCTCTGGAAGGCCACACAGAACACCCACGACTCGTGTGATCCATTAGCATAGAAACCCGTCCTCCTTATAGTACGTCACATTTTGACATAGTTTTTGGCTTTGGGCAAAGTATGATATGGTAGAAAATTGTAGCTACTCACAGAAATGAAATAATGTCCCGTTTTCTGTTCGTGAATCCGCTGGTAGATAAGGACAAGGCATTTTAGTACAGCAGTTTCTTGGCGTTGGGAATGCTCACAAGAATGGGCTGAGCATGGAATGATCTCGGCAAGATACCTAAAGGTAGCCACCATGGAAACCCAAGAAATCTATTATTTATTTCTTTATTTCTACATCCCATCCTCCTGTTTAGGTAGTACTTCTGCTATTGTACATATATTGACATAAAGGCAATTAGAGAGTAGAAATCGGTACTAATGAGTTTGGACAAACCGGAAAAGTTTTTGTACTGATGTTGAAAAGAAAACTTAGCCTAACCTTCATAGGCCTAATACACGATATCAGAGGCCTAATATAGTACAGTACATATATATGTGCCATACTAAGCCTATGAATATTTATGCTTGATTTTACCCTTATTTTTTCGGGGTCTAAAGTGAACAGTCCCAAATTCTATCTAATTGTCTATTATGTCTATGTACAATGGTCCACATAGTTACAAAAAACACTATCTAAACAGGAGGGGTTGTATATATGTCCACATTACTGCTTGGACATATATACATTTAGATTATGCAGTTCAGTTTTGGTCACCATATTATAGAATGGATATAAATTCACTTGAACGTGTCCAGCGTAGGATGACTAAGTTAATTCCCCAAATTAGAAATCTTTCATATGAAGAAAGATTAACAAAGCTTAAGTTGCATTCACTGGAAAGGCGAAGAGTTAGGGGGTGACATGATAGGTTTACAAGTGGGTGAATGGACATAACAAAGGGGATATTAATAGGGTATTAAAAGTATCAACACAAGACAGAACACGAAACAATGGGTGTAAATTGGATAAGTTTAGATTTAGGAAAGACTTGGGTAAATACTGGTTCAGTAACAGGGTTGTTGATTTGTGGAACCAATTGCCGCGTAACATTGTGGAGGTGGAGTCCCTTGATTGTTTCAAGCATGGGTTGGACATGTATATGAGTGGGATTGGGTGGTTATAAATAGGAGCTGCCTCGTATGGGCCAATAGGCCTTCTGCAGTTGCCTTTGTTCTTATGTTCTTATATATACAAGAAGGTACATTGGGCTATGAGAGTACATAACATTGTACAGGTATTTGAGTATTACATTCTTGCAAAGCTTAACATGCATTCTCAAGAAAGACAGAGTAAGGGATGATATGTTTGCAATATATAAATGGATGAAGGAGTATATCAAAGGGGGATATAAATTAAATTTTAAATATATCAATCCAAAATAGAACTCAAAACAATGGGTATAAATTAGAGAAGTTTAGATTCAGGAAAGGCCTGGGTAAATACTGGTTTGGAAACAGGATTGATGTTTTCTGGAACAAATTACTTGTTAACGTAATAGGCATTGCAATGCTGGCTTGTTCCAAGAATAGATTAGACATATGAATTAGTTCATGTGAATATAAGTAGAGGCTGGTACTACTGTACGAGCCAATAGGTCTTCTGCAGTTTCCTTTATTCTTATATTTTGGTGGTGTATATCTCACTGCTTTATGTCCACATCATTGCTTCGTGTGAACACTGCTTCTTACTAGTACAGTACTTGTAAGTTGTTCAGTGGTTTGTGTCTTTGATTGATGTCACATGATTGATTGTATTTTTGTTTGGTAAAGCATTGCTTGGTGGTTACAATATTGCTTTGAGACTAAAATAATGCTTAGTAGCTCAAACATTGCTTGATGGCAAGAACATTTCTTGATCAAAATATCATCAAATTATTGATGACAATATCACTTGGATGTCTGAACATTACTTGGTTGCTGGAACATTGCTTGGTGTCATCGCTTGGTTGCCACAACATCGCTTGATAGAAGAAACAACGTTTGATATCTGCAAAACCATATGGCCAAAGCATTCATTGAATATAATTTTTTGAAACAAACGATCTGGTCATCCATTTCAGAAGCATACCGAGAGGCGAGCAGGTTTCCCTCAATGATTCCATTGATCATCATGCTGATATTCCCTTGATCCTGGGGTAATCATCCTAAAAGCCTTGCAAGTGGTTCATTAAACCCTGCAGTTATTATTCCATCTAGTTCTGCAGTTGGCCAACTACAGATTTCTACAAATGATTATCCACTGAATCTTGTAACTGATCATCATTTGAAGTGTATTCAAGTGATTTCAGCAAAACACTCAACCATCTGTCGCTTGGCATCGTTGTAATGGAAGGACTGGATCACAGTGGGGCCATGAAAGGTATATGTCACTTTAATATTTGTCCAAATACTGTATCAGTATGTTGAATGATGTAGGGATATACTGTATTGTATATACCAATACTGTATTGTATTTTCTTATTAATATTTACCATATATGTTTTTAGTACTGTAATATTAATACTAACTGCAGCTCTCCTGAAAGAATATCGCCACCATTTGGCTATTTCACTGGACATCTTCCCGGGCAACTGACACATAAAAGCTGGATAATATATTCAGGGGTATATGTCCAAACCTTTTGGTCTATTTCTCTTCAACTGTAAAAATATTATTGATTGTTATTCTCTTTATTATGTTACAAAAGTCTCATTTTTTTTAAGATCCACTTCTCTTCTACACCAGTATAAACTTGGAACAATATTGACTATTGTCATGGCTAAGTCACCAAATCATTCCAATAGTGTGTTTGTCAGTTATACTGCAACCAGTAGCATCTTCCTCAATAAATTAATGGTTGATTTCATGAGTTCTCCACTGAATGCCCTGTTGAACTCCATTGCTTAAACCAGAGTGTATGTGGGTTACATGTAAAGCTTGGATTGGCTTCCAGCTTGGTGCCTCCAGATTCTTAGTGGGTCTGGGTGGACTTTAGGGTGTGTGCTCTTTGCATATCATAGTGTGTTGGTAAGGCACCCATCTGGGGTGGTCCTACTGTCTTCCTCCAAAGATTTTATCAAAGATATATCATGCTACAGGTATTGAGATTTTGTGTATTATAGTTGATCTTCATATCCTTTCCAAGTGCCTTATAGTAACTACCTAAGTGTAGTTACAGGATGAGAGCTACTCTCGTGTTCCGTCTTCCCAATACTCTTTGTCATATAATGCTTTGAAACCTACTGATGGTTTTGGCCTTCACCACCTTCTCACTTAACTTGTTCAAACCATCTACTGCTCTGTTTGCAAAAGTGAATCTTATATTTATTTGGCAGCTTTGTCTAGTTAGTTTAAATCTATGACCTCTTATTCTTGAAGTTCCAGGTCTCTGGAATTCTTCCCAATCAATTTTGTCAAGTCCCATTTCTATTTTGTACGTAGTGATCATAACACCTCTTTTTATTCTTCTATTTTCTAGTTTTGGCATATTTAATGCCTCTAACCTCTCCTTGTAGCTCTTGTCTTTCAGTTCTGGGAGCCATTTTAGTTGCATGTCTTTGCACATTTTCTAGTTGATGTGCTACTTAAGATACGGGCACCATACAACAGCTGCATAGTCCGACTTTAGTCTCACAAAGGCCGTGAGTAATTTCTTAAATATTTCACTAGCCATGTATTTAACCCTTAGACTGCACAATACATACATACCGTATATGATTTGACAAAAAATAATTTAAGTTTTTAAAACTTGCACAAACACTTTCCAATTTTTTTTGCATAATCAACTAGGCAAATACTCCAACTTTGTCTAAATGATCACATCATAACTTGAAAAACAGAGAATCAAAATTAATTTTAAAATTGAATATTGAGAACTTCAGATTTTCAATTCAGAATTCAAAATATGAACTACCATTAATTGTTCATTTAATGTTATTATTCTCTCAGAATAGCATATGATCTTCATTTTCATTAAATTAGAATATAGGTTTTTAGTATACAGTAGTTTACTGTAAAAAAAATTGTCAATAGGACATTTGAAATATGCAGCAAATTTAGACCAAAAAAAATTATAACTCCAAATGTATAAAGTTTATGAAAAATCCATTCTGATGGAATTGTAGATGTTACGACCCTGGGTTCTTATTAGGAAACCAGAGGTCAAATTGAGTTCTAAATAATTACTATACATTAATTGATAGGATTGGATCATGTGAGAAAGATAGTTAATTAACATTAACATTTATACTCAGAGCACACAATATGTCAAAATAGTGAGAATCGGTTAATAACTGGATTTTTAGAAGCCACTCATAGTTGAAACTCTGGTTTCCGAGATAATTGAAGTTGAAGTTATCAACAATGAATAAAGGTAGTTTTAATTCGTTAATTTAATTGTATGTTTTAATAAATATTGTTTGGCATTTGTACTCGAATATGTGACAGTTGTAGGTCAATGTGATGAAATGAAGTCAAGGATAAATAACCCCAAAAAACACAAAATACTGTACATAAGGATAATTATAATAAATGTAATGATTTAGGGGATATATTTAGTGTATCCTTTATATAAGTGAAAAAACCCTAATATGGTCCCTAATCATCAAAACAACCTAAAAAGACAAAGAAAATAATTTGAAATCGGAGAAAAAACGGCTAAAAAAAAATTAAATACTGTACCAAGTTTTGCTAGTTATGACTGACTTATTTGATGACTAATTTCATTCTATTTTCACATAGTTATGAAAACATATGCATTCTCCAGGATGTAAAGGTTAAAACAAAATCAGATAATAAACAAAGGAGAAAATAATAACTAAAATCTTTAAAAAAAAAAAATTCCCCTAAAAAAAATATTTTTTCGACATTGATGAAAGTAACATATATTAACATTGGACAATGTATGTATATGATATATATAACAAAATAGATCATATTAACATAGTTACTCATTATGTTTTGTGTTATTACTCTGTAATGACATAAAGGCACCAACTGCATATTCACTTTGTGGACACTTCTTACTACTATTCTTTTTCTTTGAACATAGGGCAGGTGCTTGCATTTCTTTATTACTGCATAATCTTTCAGTTACAGTAATTAGGCACTGTTCTTCTTATTAATAAAACATTCTTATTTTTCAAAAATTCATCTAAAATCAATTTCTGAAAATATTTTTGAGAGTTTCACGACACTGAAGCCAATAAGTTGGAGATTTGTTTAACATTTTTAAGTTATTTTTACATAATTCAAATATTTTTCTATGTTATCCCCCTAAATAAACGGTAATATGCGCAGTCTAAGGGTTAAAAGCAATTCTGAAATTGGAAAGCGTAGCAATCATCCAAGTTTCTTATCTTCCCTAATTTCGTAGCATCATCAGCAAACATGTTCATATAATTCTGCATTCATTCTGGTAGGTCGTTTATGTAGCCAATGAACATTACTGGTGCAAAAACTGGACCCTCTGGTGCTCCACTTATGATACTGACTTTGTACTTTCTCCTAAAATTACCTTAATGAGTATGAAGCAAACCACATTACTGTATCTCTAATGTGCTAGCTACTTATCACCATAATCACTAATGACACTTGCAATCATATTTGCTAACCATTAATAACGTCTATAATTAGTACACGTTCCCAATATTTCCACGAATCATTTAGGAAAGGCAAAATTTTCCATAGACTTTCCCTTCAGGCCAAATGATGATCAACTTGGCAAACAAGGAAGCAAACTATGTCCAACACAAGGTCAGGTGAAGAGTGGATATTATCCGATCAGGAACGTATCATCATCAGTCCAACTCTACCAGTGATTCAATGACAAATGCTCTAGATATACTGTGGATCTTCTTATCAAATGATGTAACACACGAAGAGTCGAGTTCCAACTCTCACACAGATGCTACAAGCCTCGTTACAGAGCAGACGACCAATCCCAGCCTTATTTGAGCTACCTCTCATTCCTCATCCGAACTCTCCAATCCCACACTCATTAACATTTTCTGCTCTCACCCTTCTATGAGCTTTCTATCCCTGGCCTCACTCAAGGTCTCTTCTCTAGGCTCCAGGCCTCACACAAGCTCCCTGCTCTCAGCTACAGGCCTTGTACAAACTCACAATCTCTAGCCAACGTCAGCTCTACATCCTACCTTACTATGAAGTTTAAGTAGGTGGTTATAATGATTTATGGTATTAAAAGCCTTTCTCAGGTCAATGAAGAGATCAATTGGGAACTCATTTTGTCAAGGGCTATCTAGATTAAATCAAGGTAACTAATAATAGCATCATTGCTACTCATTTTGGGATTGGAAACCACTTATTATACATACCTGGATTTACCCGAGGGCCACTAACTAATAGCTTTGATGAATACAAAAAGCCGGCAGCTTGTCAAAGGCCCCCCCCCATTTGCCCTGATGATTTTTTCCAGCTGGATTTTAAAATTTAACAGTTTAGACATTTACAGTTTTGATGGGTAGGCAGTTCTATGGGTATATAAACCTGTGGGTGAAAAAGCATCTCCTGTTTTCAGTCCTGCATTGTGACCTGCTGAGCTGGAATCCATTGATCCTTGTTTGTGTCACTTTTTGGAGAAATTGTCTGGATCAACATCCTCCAAATTGTTCAGTACTGTATTTAAAAGGTTTCGATGAGATCCATCCTATCATGCCTGGTCAGTAGTGTTGTTAACCCTGAGGCCCTCAATCATTTCTGGTATGAGAGTTGAGAGTTCTGAAATTATATTTGTCGCTCGGCGTTGTACTTTCTCCAAAGCAGCTGTATCCTTCTGAAGATGAGATCTCCATGTCTGGATACAATAATTGAAGTGGGGGCACACCAAGTATGGGGAACTTAGAAATTTCTTTAAGGAATTTGACTGGAAAGACTTGCCGTTAGGAAATGAAGTAAATGAGATGTATGTCAAGTTTTGTGAAATATATGATACACAGCAAAATTCATTTCAAATTCAACAGAAATCGTGAGAGGGCCAGAGACCAAAAGACACAAAAATGGAATCAATATAGGAAGAGGTCAAACCCCCAAACATACCACCGATACAAAAGATGTGAGAAACAACTACACAGTGAGGAGAGAAGCAGAAATAAATTTTGAAAAAGCGATAGCAGACAAATGTAAAACAGAACCAGGTCTATTCTATAAATTCATAAACAACAAATTGCATGTAAAGGATAATATTCAGGGGTTGAAAATGGGAAAGAGATTCATAGAAAATTAAAAGGAAATGTGTGAAACATTAAACGAAACGTTCCAAAGTGTGTTTGTATAAAATGAAATCTTCAGGGAACCAGACACAATAAGAATTCCAGAGAACAACACAGAGCACATAGAGGTGTCTAGAGACGAAGTGGAAAAAATGCTCAAGGAGCTAAATAAGAACAAAGCAGTTGGTCCAAATGGAGTTTCACCATGGGTTCTGAGAGAATGTGCACCTGAGCTCAGCATTCCACTTCAACTGATTTTCCAGGTATCACTGTGTAAAGGAGTTACTGTATAGCTGATGTTTGGAAAAAGGCTAACATCATTCCAATCTACAAAAGTGGCAGCAGGGAAGACCCCCTCAATTATAGACCTGTATCATTGACAAGTGTAATAGTCCAAATATTGGAAAAAGTAATTAAAACTAAATGGGTAGAACACCTGGAGAAAAACGATGTAATATCAGACGAACAGTATGGTTTCCAATCTGGAAGATCCTGTGTATCGAATTTACTCGGTTGCTATGATCGACCGCACCAGGCAGAAACAAATGGGCAAAGTTTCTTTTACCCTGAATGCCCTTGTTACCTAGCAGTAAATAGGTACCTGGGAATTAGTCAGCTGTCACAGGCTGCTTCCTGGTGTTATTACCTAAGTGTAGTTACAGGATGAGAGGTATGCTCGTGGTGTCCCGTCTTCCCAGCACTCTGTCATACAACGCTTTGAAACTACTGTACTGACGGTCTTGGCCTCCACCACCTTCTCGCCTAACTTGTTCCAACCGTCTACCACTCTGTTTGCGAAAGTGAATTTTCTTATCTTTCTTTGGCATCTGTGTTTAGCTAGTTTAAATCTATGACTTCTTGTTCTTAAAGTTCCAGGTCTCGGGAAATCTTCCCTATCGATTTTATCAATTCCTGTTACTATTTTGTATGTAGTGATCATATCACCTCTTTTTCTTCTGTCTTCTAGTTTTGGCATATTTAATGCCTCTAACCTCTCCTCGTAGCTCTTGCCCTTCAGTTCTGGGAGCCACTTAGTAGCATGTCTTTGCACCTTTTGTGTGTAATTACCTAAGTGTAATTACCTAAGTGTAGTTACAGGATGAGAGCTACGCTCGTGGTGTCCCGTCTTCCCAGCACTCTTTGTCATATAACGCTTTGAAACTACTGACGGTCTTGGCCTCCACCACCTTCTCACTTAACTTGTTCCAACCGTCTACCACTCTATTTGCGAAGGTGAATTTTCTTATATTTCTTCGGCATCTGTGTTTAGCTAGTTTAAATCTATGACCTCTTGTTCTTGAAATTCCAGGTCTCAGGAAGTCTTCCCTGTCGATTTTATCAATTCCTGTTACTATTTTGTACGTAGTGATCATATCACCTCTTTTTCTTCTGTCTTCTAGTTTTGGCATATTTAATGCTTCTAACCTCTCCTCGTAGCTCTTGCCCTTCAGTTCTGGGAGCCACTTAGTAGCATGTCTTTGCACCTTTTCCAGTTTGTTGATGTGCTTCTTAAGATATGGGCACCACACAACAGCTGCATATTCTAGCTTTGGCCTAACAAAAGTCATGAACAATTTCTTTAGTATATCGCCATCCATGTATTTAAATGCAATTCTGAAGTTAGAAAGCATAGCATAGGCTCCTTGCACAATATTCTTTATGTGGTCCTCAGGTGATAGTTTTCTATCTAGAACCACTCCTAGATCTCTTTCTTTATCAGAATTCTTTAAAGATTTCTCACATAATATATAGGTTGTGTGGGGTCTATGTTCTCCTATTCCACATTCCATAACATGACATTTATTAACATTAAATTCCATTTGCCAAGTGGTGCTCCATATACTTATTTTGTCCAGGTCTTCTTGAAGGGCATGACAGTCATCTAAATTTCTTATCCTTCCTATTATCTTAGCATCATCAGCAAACATGTTCATATAATTCTGTATACCAACTGGTAGATCATTTATGTACACAATAAACATCACTGGTGCAAGAACTGAACCCTGTGGTACTCCACAGTGTGAGTGTGTGTGTGTGTGTGTGTGTGTGTGTGTGTGTGTGTGTGTGTGTGTGTGTGTGTGTGTGTGTGTGTGTGTGTGTGTGTGTGTGTGTGAGGTGTGGGAAAAAAAAATAGTAGTTAGTAAACAGTTGATTGACAGTTGGGCCAAAAGAGCAAAGCTAAACCCCCGCAAATACAATTCGGTGAACAACTAGGTGAACACTTGTGTTAAGTTGGGATAAGGGCTGCAAGGCTGACCTTTTGCTTGATGCAGCCCACAATAATTGCCAAATTCTTGGTTACCTGTTTACTGCTAGGTGAACAGTAGCATCAGGTAATAGGAAGTGTTTTTGCACATATGCATCATTTATGCATGCCATAATCAAAAATTTTGTGGAATGCTATCTTGCAATGATTTCGGAGCTTTGCATCCCCGTGTCCCAGTCCGCGACCAGGCCTTCTAGTCATTAATAAAATTGTATAATTTGTATGTGACTAAAGATTTAGTTCCTCTGTGTTAAATAATATAAGTACAGTTAATCACAAAGAAAGTAACTGCATATTTAAACATGCTTTGATTATGATTCAGAATAAACTCGGCAGGATTCTAATCAGTGCATCATTTTGAATATGAAATTTATCATAGTATACAGTATACAAAGTTCACTAATATATAGTTTATACCCATCTTTTGTAGTGATCATGTTATCACCATTACAGATCTGGGTAAACTCTGATGTTTCATAATTCTAATAACATAATGTTACATATGCAAAAATTATGGATTCATGCATATCTTTGTAAGTAGGTAACTGAATGATTTGTTGCAGATGTCCAGCAGCCACAGCAGGACCAGGCAGAAGAACACTTTGTGAAGAGCATCTGTTGTGACCATCCTGTACAGAAGGTTGATGAAAAAGGAATCCCAGATCAAGAGTTAATCAACTCAGATCAAGAACATGGTAATCAAGAACAGAAAGTTAAAGAGCTGATATGTCGGGAATCAGAAGTTGAAGGATTAGACCACCGGCAAGAAACCACTGAAAACTTTGACCTTAGCCAGGAAGTTAGAGAACAAAAAGAACAGATACATGAAGTTGAAAAACAACTGTATCCAAAAGAAAGAATTAAAGAGCAAGTAGACCAAGAGGATATTGAAAGAAAGGTAAATCAAGAAAAAGAAGTTGAAGAACAAGTACATCAAACAGAAAAGGCTGAAACAGAAGAGGAGGCCAAAGAACAGGTGTACCAAAAAGAGGAAGTTGTTGAGACAGTAGACCAAAGAGAGGATGTTGAGGATGTTGAAGATGCAGACCAAAGTGAAGAAGAGGTAGATGAAGGAGAGGAATTTGATGAGGTAGATGAAGGAGAGGAAGTTGATGAGGTAGATGAAGGCGAGGAAGTTGATGAGATAGATCACAGTGAGGAAGAGGTATATAAAGGAGAAGTTGAAGCGGGAGACCAAAGTGAAGATGAGGTAGACCAAGGAGAGGAAGCCAAAGAAGAGATAGACCTCGGAGAGCAAGTTGAAGAAGTATCTTTTAAAGAGGAAACTAAAGAACAAATCGACAACAAGGACAGAATTATAGGAGAGGAAAATATTGATACAAAATTTGAAGACCTCTTTAATAAATCAAAAGAAGATCAAGACCAATTTGAGGAAAGATCAGAAATCAAAAAGCAAGTAGGCCAAATATTTGAAACCAATGATCGAATATCAACACATGGCAGACATTTCATAAACGAAGCCAAGCAGAGGTGGGAAGCTCTTGATAAGGAAGATCAATCAGAAGTAGATAATAATAAGAATTACAAGAAAAAGAAAAGTAAGAAAAAGTCTCAAAACACAGGAGCAATGGCTGATGCTAATACGAAGACCAGTAGATTTGTAAGTACAGTACAGTACAGTATATTTATCTTTTAAGAATTAGTCATATGATTCTTATTTATCTGTACAGTGACACCTTGACTAAATGAACTACTGTAACTGAGATATAACTCTTTCTAAACTTTCAAGGTTTCCTTTCTATGTTCAATATTTTGCTTTTTATTTGCAAATGATATCACACATACCAATAATATAAAACCAGAGTTGAATGTAATGAAACACCATTTTCTGGGTGAGACCCAGAGGCTCCCCAGAGCTATCCAGGCTGATATGGATATATTTGACTGTAGCATCAATGTGAATGGAGTTCTAGGCCTCCTGGGGACCATGAACCAGAACCTGGCCCCCTCAGAAGAGGCACAAGGAGCAATGGCATATGGAAACCCCTGTGTGGTTGGAAGCATTCTATGTCTGCCATTGACTGGGTCAGGCACCCAGAAAGGTAAGCATCCCAAAACAAACCCCTATTCTGGTGAAAATATTGCTACCAAAAGCTGAACAAGTGGATAGAATTCCCGTACACGAAACGAGCAAATGATCATGACGTCACATGTCATCGCGCCGCTGTCTGCACATCTTCCTCCTCCCTGGGAGGGGGGAGCCCCAGACCCCATACGCTGGCTGTCCACCCTTTAATTCTTAGGCTGATGCTAGAGGCTCCGGTCGTGTGCTCTGGCTCCAGACATAGTTTCAGCACGGCTTTGAGTGTGGTGGCTATCTTCTAGAGGGGTGCAAGATCCAGGAGTTATTCTCCAGTACTCGGGCTGCATGCGCCTAGGGTCTCCTTCCCTAGGTGCCCTGGAAGTACTGTCCTTGGGGCTTGGGGTTACCTTCCATAAGTTCCTTGGGCCCTGTCTCTGCTGGCTGTTTTACTGCTCGGATTTTTGGGCCCCCTCTTTGGGTACTTGGGTGTTTTGTCCCCCCTTGTTTACCTTAGAGCAGGAGGCACTGGTTGGGGGCATGGGGTGCTGCGTAGCTTGTTTTCACTGATTAGCGGCCGGCTCTGTTCCTCTAGGGTACGCTGTCCTCTTGTGGGGTTTTCTTTTTGCCTTGTGGGGGGGATCTGCCCTGCTTTTTAGCCACTTGTGCTTGACCTCTTACAGTTCTTCTCTGGTGGTGACCCCTGCTAGGTCCCTGTGAGTGTACACATCCCTGGGGTGCAGCTTTAGTGAGTTTGCTTGGTAGCAAACCATGTGGGGTTTGTTTTGTCATGCCTACCTTTCTGGGTGCCTGACCCCGGTCGATGGCAGATAAGGAAAACCCCACCACAAGAGGGTTTTCCAGTGCCATTGCTCCCTGAAACCTCTCTGAAGGGGCCAGGTTCTGGCGCTGGTCCCTGGTAGGTCTGAACTCCTTAGCTAATGTCCCGGTCTAATATAACATACATTAGCCCAATAAGCTCCAGGGAGCCTCCGGGGCTCACCCAGAAAATGGCGTTTCATTACATTCAACGCTGGTTTTTTTATTAGACTGCTGTATTCCGCACCTAAAGTTGTCCTGGTATGCCAAATTTCACACACCTCTGGGCACTAGTCGTGATTTAACAAAGAGTCAAAGTTGGTCATTTTTGTGGTATTTATGCATTAACTGGACGAGAGCCCATTCAATATAGACCTGTTATTTAAGAACCAAAGCAGATTGAGCTCTAATATTTTACAAAGTGTCATTTGGGGTCTAGGGCTATCTTACTACAAAATTTCATGGCATTTGGAGAGGGTCGAGTAGGAGCCATAGGTGACTTTTTGGTGATTTGAGATGGAATGACCCCAAAGGAAGCTACCTGAAATTGGTGTGTTCAATCAAGAACCCCAGCCAATTCATGAATCTGAGATGAATACAGATATGACACTTGACATCCTAGAAAGCCAAAAAAATGTACCACAGGGGATGTAGGCATTGAATTCAAACAAGTTAAGGATTATTCGCCCCTTGGGAAAGTTCCTTTTCACCACAGGGAACAGATGGGCCTGGACCCACAGTGATTGGATCACCTGATATCCAATATCTTATAAATGAGTGTAGAGTGGTGAAGTAGACATATGGAAGGGAAGCTCGGGTAGAATGGAGGGAGCAAAGCACTCGGATAGACCCTGAGATAATAGCTGTGATGCTAAAATGTCCCACCATGCTGCCACTGATGCCCACAAGAAAATAGCCATGAATGGATCCATTATGTTCTTCTAAAAAGAGAACTTGTTCCCACTACAAGGGGCCACAGGCAGGGAAACCACATTAATTAGGAACAGATGTATCTGAACTACTATTCCATTCAGTACTGTAGTCAGATAAAGGTTGCGCCCCCAAATCCCTCCATGGTAAAAGTGAGAAGCCGGTTTCAGCTGAAACACATTTCAATGACTAAATGGACAAACGTGCATCCTCCTATACCCACTGTATGTCTTCCTAAGGGAAGAGGAAAAAACTGATTCTCTAAACAGACTCCTAGAACTGACCCAATACTGTACCACACAGATGCAGCCAAGACGTGTAGCAAAAGAAGTTGGCAGCCAACTCGCAAAGGATCAGGATTAGCATCTTAGACACAGGCAGTGTACAAAACCATTCAGAATGAATCTGGAAGAGAAGCTCCTGACATGCAAGGCATTTGATGATATTTGCCAGACTGGCACAAGCTTTGAAATCTTCCACAAGAAACCTTTGCAGTAAGGGGGAAAACTGCATAAGGAAGTTTTTAGTAAGCCACCTCGTAGGACAAAATTGGGGCACATAGGGTTTTACTGATACTAAGATCTGCCTCGGCCAACACCACATTAAACATTGGGGAAACTTGCAACACAACTGCCATATTTCACATAAAAAATAAGTGATTACTACCACATAAAAGAAAAAAGTGGTATACCCCTTTTCAATTTGACCTCAAATTGAGAAAGGGTATAGTTCTCCAACATGGAGTGAAATACCATTTGACTTGAGATTCAGAACCCAAGAAGGGTCAAACAGTACCAGTCGTGTCATTACTCGGTGTGTCTGGCTGAACCTTGGTCACCAGAAAAGAGGAGGGGTCAGCTGTCAGTCCTGCCAAAAAGTGAAATCCATCCCCAGGCCAGAGCCAAAAGAAATAAACTGCCCAAATGGAAGCCTCTGATTCACCTTGGGAAGGGTAAGACCACTTTCTCCACTCTGAAATGAGGGAAAAATTTTCCCTGGAACAAAGGAACTAAGCATTCAGCTTCAGCATCCCCCATTTCCTATTGAGCAAGTGACTTAATAAATAAAGACCAAAGTGATTCAAGCCCCACAGCAAGGAGCTGGGGCATAAGGCACTTCACGACTAGGTACCACCGAAGCAGCCGAGGTGCCTGGTCCTAAAAACCAAGATTCACAAGACGGCTGGACCAGAATTACCATATAGTTCTTTAAAAATAGCTGTGTCAATGAAGAATCAGCCTCAGCTGTGAACTGAGACCTCCAGTAATGATACTGCAGTGCACAAGCCCTCAATTTAGCAGCAGCCTAATATGCAGATTGCTTATGCTAGGACAGTCTTAGCTGAGAAAGAGTACAGGTAGTATGAAATGAACTCGGCCTCCGCTAGGTGATGGAGATATTTGAACTGTATCTGCACTCTAATTGGGAAGAGATCTTTCACACTTAAAATGTGTTGCTTACAAAGTTTTGGAGCTTGGAAAGTATCAGAGGAAAGATTCATTTTTTAAAAGCTATAATGGTATTAGGTTTGATTTAAGGGTTATTGGATCGAGATGTAGAAAAAAGAATTGTACACGCTACATCCAAGTGCAGTTGTATATCTTACATTTTCATTGACTCTAGCCCATTCAATGTTTGTGGATTTCTAAGATTGAATGGATGAGTTATGTAAGAGATGAATTTTTTGGGTTGGAGTAGAGATTGAGTTCCATTTAGATAATAGTTTCCATTAATTATTTTTTTTCCATAACCCAAAGGTACTCAAATGACATCTCAATCAGCCCTATTGCAGTCATATGATCTGGTTTGTAAAAACTTGCAAAAGCTTATTACAAGCAATCAGTAATTGGTTTGTTAATGAAGTCATGTATCAGCTTCCCCATTTTGGCATGTGCACAGTCTAGTTAGAAACCTATCACTATAAAATGTCCTAGCATGAGAATTTATATAAAGTATTGAGTAAAAGAATTTGTTTCTTGTAATTTGAAATAGTCAACATTGAAGTCATTAAGGATATTTCTAATTGTTTATAATAGTATTTTCTTTTTTACAGGGAGGCACTGCTGAAAAATGTGCACAGTGCAAACGTACTGTGTATGCAATGGAAAAGTTGGAGGTAGCAGGCCGTTTGATGCACAAAACGTGTTTCAGATGTTGCAAGTGTAACTCTCCACTCAAGTGAGGATTAAAGATATTTTTGTAATTTTCACGTATATGTATACACTAATTTGTGTTGAGTGTAATCAATTACCCGAGTGTAACGACTACAATTACTTAAATGTAGCTACAAGACGAATAGACCCAGTGAAGAGCAGGGGTGCCATAGGCACAATCAGAAAACATTGTATAAACATCAGAGATCCAAGGTTGTTCAACATCCTCCCAGCGAGTGTAAGAAACATTGGCGGAACAGCTGTAAATGTAAAGCTACACATGTGGTGTCCTGGCTTCCTAGTACTCTGTCATATGATGCTTTGAAACTGCTGATAATTTTGGCATCCACCACCTTCTCACTTAACTTATTCCAACCATCTACTACACTGCTTGCAAATGAGAACTTTCTATAAAAAAAAAAAATTCGGTACCTTTGTCATTAGTTTGAATCTATGACCTCTTGTTCTTTAACCACTGTGATGTACCGAGTTTATTGTATTCACCTAGTTGTGTTTGCGGGGGTTGAGCTTTGCTCTTTCGGCCCGCCTCTCGACTGTCAATCAACTGTTTACTAACTACTAATTTTTTTTTTTTTCTCTCCTCTCCACACCACACACACACACCAGGAAGCAGCCCATGACATCTTACTAACTCCCAGGTACCTATTTACTGCTAGGTAACAGGGGCATTCAGGGTGAAAGAAACTTTGCCCATTTGTTTCTGCCTGGTGTGGGAATCGAACCCACACCACAGAATTACGAGTCCTGCTCGCTATCCACCAGGCTACCAGCCCTCTAGAATTGTGAAATTCCCCCGGTGCGCATGAAATAAAATGTTCCCAAAAAATTCTTCGTAAAATTATAAATTCCCTTCCCTGAACATGTCTATGTAAAAATAAATACCAAAATTCCACTTACTTTGGCTGTGGGGACGTGGACAAGGTACACTGTGACGTCATCAGGGGCTGGTCACCCATACATGACACGCCCAGACACGGTCGCCATTCAAGCACTGGATGTTGCCACAAATATATTTTCAATTATTTGTTCTGTGTGTTTCCAATGCAGTTTTATTTGTTTTGTTTTTTTATCGAATATGATGCATATTTGTGTCCTTTACAATATGTATACAATAGAACGTTCATAATGTTCCCTGGAACTGTGATACATGTGTCAGTAATGTGTCCACAATAAATGTTTATTGTCGCAATATTACTTGTTAAAAATTCACTAAAATTACAATATGTACAGTTTCATGCACTATTTACACAGTAACACACTATATTACACACTCAGTACTTCGGAAGTGAGTAATAATCATCGAAGTAGTCCATGGTACACAACGCGACTTCGCTCTCGTTGCACCAGGTACAGGTAGATTTTTCGCTTCCTGTTTCTTCGTTCTGTGTGCTTGCAAATAACGCACTCACGTACACCCTTGGCTTTAGTACTTGTAGGTTGTATGTAGCCAAGCTTGTAAAGCATAAGGTGGTATTGAAAAGATTATAGGAAAAGATCAATTTGTAAAGTAGTCTTGAAAAAGATCGCTTTGTAAGGTCCCACACAGGAAGAGATTCAGCCAGCCTCAAAGAGAGTTCGTCAGCCTGGAAGAGATTCAGCTATTCTTGAAAATATCTATGGAAAACACCACCATGGAAGCCACTAATGCTGTTCATCTATGCTACTTGTATCAGATGCATCATCACTGAACGCAGAAAACGATTCATCTATGTATCGTCTATATAAATTGGAGATAGCATTGGTGGTCATGGGTGGCACTCGGAGCTATGACTGGATACGCTCGCTGTATCGTCCTCATAGGTACTGTATCACTTGCATCTGACCTTTGTGTTAAGTCCTTATTGCACCTAGCTTCACCAATATTATGATCCTTATGTTTTTCAAACAATAAGGTTTGAATTTCACCGACAGAGCGCCATCTTTCAACTCCGCGTCGGACAGGTGTTTGGGGGCCAGAGGCTCGTGCGCCACTCATGGTTGCTCACTCAGTACTAATCCAGCCAGCAGCCCTAGGGCATTCTGGGAATTTTTTCAGATGGCTGCCTCTCACTGGAGGTCCTAAGAGTACATTTCGTACACAACCAACCGCGCGCACATTTAGAATGGGTACGAAAAAATCGGAGTTTTCTCGGTTGGCTCGGTTTCCCACTGATCGAGAATATTCGGTTGGCACAGTTCGGTGGTTAATGTGCAGGTTTCAAGAATTCCTTTTCTGTGGGGAGCCCCTACGGCTCCCTGGTGCTTATCGGGCTAATGTATGTTATATTAGACCGGGATATTAGCTAAGGAGTTCAGGCCTACCAGGGACCAGCGCCAGAACCTGGCCCCTTCAGAGAGGTTTCAGGGAGCAATGGCCCTGGAAAACCCCCTTTATGGTTGGGGTTTTCCTTATCTGCCATCGACCGGGGTGCATGTGTTTAGGGGCTTCCTTTCCTAAGCGCCCTGTGAGTACTGCCCCTGCGTGACAGGGTTATCTTCCCTGGGGCGTTCGGGAACCATTCCCGTAGAGGTTCTTGCTGCTCGGCATTTGCCTCACCCTTGGGGCCAGCTGGGGCTTGGGCCCTTGTTTGGCCCTGGGTCCCTGCGTGACAGGGTTATCTTCCCTGGGGCGTTCGGGAACCATTCCCGTAGAGGTTCTTGCTGTTCGGCATTTGCCTCGCCCTTGGGGCCAGCTGGGGCTTGGGCCCTTGTTTGGCCCTGGGTAGGGACTGGTTTTGTGCTGGTTAGGGCGTCAAGGTGTTGGGCGGCCTGCCACCTAAGCGGCGACTGGTTCCTGTTGCCTTTGGGGACGGTGTACTTTTGCGGGGTTTTTCTTTATTTATTTTCTTTGCCTGGTAGAGGTCTGCCTAGTGTGGCTATAGTTCCACTGGTAGTGTTTGGTGGCCCTCTGCTAGGGCCCCATGATTGTACACGTCGCAGGGGTTTTCAGTGTTGTCCTCTACCCCCCCCCTCTTTTTTTTTTAAGCGGTTAGAAACACCTTGCCTAGGCTTCCCGTAGTTGTTACCCTATGGGCCCTGGAAAACCCTGTCGGGGCTCGGTGGACCATTGAATGTGTCTTCCGGGTTCCGACCCGTCTTGTACGGGATTGTTGGTTGCTGTGCCCTTGTCTCCGGTGACAGGCGCCACATTTACGTCTGTCGTGTTGCCTGTTGGGTCAATGACACCTTGACCCGGAGTCTTGCGAGATATATTCTCTGCTTGTTCTCCAGTACTCTCCTTCAGAACTGCAGAAGGCCCCTGGGGCCTTCTGCAATTCTGACAATTTGACTGTTTTCTTTTGGGGGGAGTTCTTTAGCTCTGTTTGGACATAGGTAGCAATTTTCACCAGGAGGTGGTTTGTATTGTTTTGCCTACCTTTCTTTGGGTATACCCTGGTCGATGGCAGACATGACATACTCCAAATGTAGAGTGCTCATATGGGAGCCGGTCGGCCGAGCGGACAGCACACTGGACTTGTGATCCTGTGGGCCTGGGTTCGATCCCAGGCGCAGGCGAGAAACAATGGGCAGAGTTTCTTTCACCCTATGCCCCTGTTACCTAGCAGTAAAATAGGTACCTGGGTGTTAGTCAGTTGTCACAGGCTGCTTCCTGGGGGTGGAGGCCTGGTCGAGGACCGGGCCGCGGGGACACTAAAGCCCCGAAATCATCTTAAGATAATCTCAAGAAGGCTATTGCTCCCTGCGCCTCTCTGAGGGGGGCCAGGCTTTGGCTCGTGGTCCCCAGAAAGGCACAAGAATTTCCGTAACCGATGATCCCAAAGTAATACAGTGGAACCTCTGTTCTTGTATGTCCCTGTTCTTATATTTTTCGGTACTCGTACTCAATTTCTCCAAAAAATTTAATTCGGTTCTCCTTGTTTGCCTCGGTGTTCAGAGTTTGTTCATACACATACGGATCCACTGCGAGCATGGCGCTTCAGTTTACCAGTATCTCCCGCCTAGTGATGATTGTGCTTAAATTCTTTGTGAAGAATTTCGTTGTTCTTGTGTTTTTTTGGTTTCAGAACATAAGACAAGGAGAAAGCCTGCCTCAGAGCAGTGCGTGCCCCCCATGCAGGAGACTTCCTTCTGGCAGTACCCATGTCAGCAATGGGAACGCGCCTAGATCCAGAATCCCTTCGTGTAGCAGTGGCCCTCTGCCTTGGTGCCCCAAGTCACACTGAATACAAGTGTTCTTGCAACAGGATGGAAGCAGACCAATATGGACTGCATGGGTTGCATTGCAGAAGCACAAAGGGCAGGCTTGCAAGACACAACAAGGTCAATGACATCATCAAGAGAAGCCTCGTCTCAGCTCGGTGCCCAGTGGAGAGAGAACCTCGCCTCCTAGGGGCCCACCACCCGAATGACCCCACACTTCGCCCTGATGGTATCACTATATACCTCTGGAAAATGGGCAAACTGTTGGTGTGGGACTACACATATGTATCCACCCTGGCTGACACCTATGTACACTTTGGTGCTGATCAAGCAGGTGGGGCGGCCAACCACAGGGAAACAGCAAAATCACTCGGGTACAGGCGACTGGAAGGTCAATACCTCTTTGTTCCCATAGCATCTGAGATGCATGGCCCCTGGGGCAAGAGTGCCTTGGGATTTCTCAAGGAATTGGGCTCCAAGCTCATTGAAGTCACCAAAGACCCAAGGGCTTCTAGTTTTTTGTTTCAGCACCTCAGTGTGGCGATCCAGCAGGGAAATGCCTGCTGCATCCTCGATTCCTGTCTGGAAGTGGAGGAGCTTCAAGAGATCCATAACCTTTAGGCATTTTTTGTATCAACCAATGTATATCTTGTAACCTTTAAATACACAATAAAGCAAAAAAAAAAAAAAAAAAGTTCTTATTATATATCATGCCATGAGCTCCACGAAAGTCAGTGGAATCCATGTGTGTTTTACCGTGGTGTCCCGTCTTCCCGGCACTCTGTCATAGGACGTGTTGAAATTACTGACGGTTTTGGCCATCTTCTCATCTAACTTGTTCCAACCGTCTACCACTTTGTTTGCGAAAGTGAATTTTCTTGTATTTCTTCGGCAGCTTTGTTTATTTAGTTTAAATCTATGACCTCTTGTTCTTGCGGTCTTAGAAATTCTCCTCCAATGAATTTTGTCGATTCCTGTTACTATTTTGTATGTAGTGATTATATAACTTCTTTTTCTTATATCTTCAGCTTTGGCATATTTAATGCCTCTAACCACTCTTCGTAACTCATCTTTCAGTTCAGAGAACCATTTAGTTGCATGTTTTTGCACCTTTTCCAGTTTGTTGATGTGCTTTTTAAGATAAAATAATAAAAATAATAAATAATTATAATAATAATAATTCATTATGTCAGGGGACATGCAGCCAGAGTGTAGTCATACACGTTAGGCTTATGTTGATGTCCCTCCTCCTCCCAGGACAAATTACTGACCCCGCCCAGGATGCAACCCCACAACAAGCTGACAATCTCCTGAGTACCTACTTATTACTAGGTGAACAGGCACATTAGGTGATAGGAAATGTGCCCAACCATTTCTGTCCCTCTCGGGATTCAAACCCGGAATTCTTAATTGGGCATCGAGACGAACCCGCCTATACCCAATATATTGTGATATAGGGCACATCATGAGCTGTACATATCATATGGTTTTTCTTGTTCTTTTTAAAATTTTATGCTATATAAAATGTTCATAGCTTACAATATTGTGTAGTCAGTTAAAGTTATTTAAACTTTTATCATTACAGTATGAACATCTAAGACATTCCACGATATAAACTCAAGCCTTATAATGTCTATTTTTGTCTGCAGTGTTGGAAGGTTCTCTGTTGGTGGCGGCGATTTGTACTGCTTAACACATTACAAACAGGCATTCAGAGAGAAAGGAACATATGACGTTTTTACCCCAGACAACCCATGCAAAGGAAAATGGCAACCGAAGGCTCAAGAATAGTCACTGGTATTCACATAGTTTTAAGGGGCCAGGTAAGGGAAACTGAGTATGTCACTTACTATGTTTGGAGATCGTATTAATGATGCTGAAATCATTGAATAAAGAACTAAATAGTAATTTTTAATTATGTATAAAAATATATATATATGAGTATGCCAGGCAATTCAGATTGTTGATGAAGACATATATATTAAGAGTGTATACTATACTTAACACTTTGACGCGTTAACGACTGAACCTCTCGTCCCTCATTTTTCTCCCGATTCCTCTCCGACGACACGGCACTGAGTCACTCATTAAAATATTTGTTAAAAATTTAAATTTTATCAGATCAATCTGATAGTGGTTTTAAAATGAGCGCCTTTAGATTGTGCACAATTTAACACCCATATGTCACTTGAGCAGGACATATATTTTTCCCTTGAATGCACCTCAAGAGGCATTTGAAAAAAATATTTCTATAAAATCCAATTTTTATCCGATCGACTTGGGGATAATTTAAGCATGTTTGCCATTAAATTTTCGTTTTCTCTAATAGTCACATAGCCTATTTCGGAGAACGGAGTTCGCTTGTATCTTCGTGGTAAAACTATTGTAAAATGTTGACCCGACGAGTGTAATCGACGAAGTTTCTTTATTTGGTGCCGGTCAAACGCATCCTTGTGTGACATTTTATACATATGTTCTTCTAGAATATTCTATTGCGAACATATTGGTACAAAATTTAAGTACGTACATCGAAAATTAAGGTCAGGACAGTGAAAAGAATATACACTTTTCAAAAGATGTTTCGCCCATCTGCCGTCGGGTGTGCCCTAAGAAGTAACACTTCAACCACTTCCCACACTCTTGCGGGTGGGCCGCGATCATGATTCTACATTTATATGCATATGTCCGTGAAGAGAATTTTATTGCGGCCACAGTGATACCAAAATTAACGATGTAGCACAATTCTGGGATTGACAAACATGAAAAGATCATAAACATTTCAGCGTGGTTTGGCGCTCACTGCTAACGATTGCCATAGTTTTTTATTTGGTGCGGGTCTCATGTCGGGTTTGGTAAAATTTTACTTATAGATTCCTGTAGAGCATTCTCTTGCGAACAAATTGATACCAAATTTAAATACATACATGGAATATTAAGGTGAGCAGACCGAAAAGATTATAAACATTTTAGTGTCGTCGCACGGTCACCCGAAACGAATGGCGTACTCACCTGATAGTATACAGTTAACTCCCCTGCGCGTTAAAGTGTTAAGTATACTAAGTTCATTTCATTTAGAGTAACATGGCTCTCAGGAAATGGATTCATTAAGATGTTATAGGATGTGCTTGGAGACTTCCTATAAAATCTATACTGTGATCAATTTTTTGTATGTATAAAGTAATATATATATATATATATATATATATATATATATATATATATATATATATATATATATATATATATATATATATATATATATATATATATATATATTAGATACATATACTGTACATATATATTTTACTAATTATAACAATTATATTTTTAAATTCTGTCTTAAACACAAAATAGATAATAATACAGTACATCTTTCACAGTTTCTGTCTACCCAAAAATACGGGTATTTCCGCTATGAAGACTTTAATTTAAATTGTAACCGAGTAATAATACTTTATAAGTAAAATATGAATCAGTACATAAAACATGTATTATTTAATTTAAATGATAAAATAATGGTAACAAAAATCTTGTTGCATCATAAAGCAATAAGAGAAATACAATAGTTTAAAAAGTGGTGGACATGGATGTGAGTTGGTATTGAATGTTGTAATGGCACTAAGTGTATACTTCGTGGCAAACTTTGATCTTTAACTTTGTGTCATCATATATAATATTTATTGTTTTTGAAACGGCTTGACTATAATGTAATTTTCCTAACTCCATCTTTATTATGTGATTTTATTTGCCATTTTGACTAAGAATGTTTTGCATAACTGGTAAAGTGGTCTGAATGTTTATGACATTGAAAGTGTGTGTATTCTAGAACTTTAACTGAAGTATTCTAGTCTTCTAGAATTTTTACTCTACATGTGAAATGCTTTTAACGTATAATATTTGCCGAGTGCATTTGATTTGGTGTTTAATTAATTTATAGTTAATGGCACTGTGTGAAAGGCACCGAGTTATGGATGTTATATCTAATATGTATAAACATCCTGTGCCTACAGGATTAACACCTACCAAAACTATAGTTCCTGCTTTCTGACCAAGAATAAAAATTTGTGTTTGTTTTACATGAAGTTTTTCTTTGTGACATTTGGACATAATAATGAAAACTAATTGTGACCTCTAATTGTACCATTTTGCCATTGAAAATTTGTACAGTGCTCTGAAAGGAAAATGTTTTCTACTCTGATATGCAGTTTGTGATGCTTGCTACACCTGCAAATATTACATTGGTAAATGTAATGTGTTACAAAATACATGTAATCATGTATCTGTATGCACAGATAAATTGTATTATTGGCATAAAACTTCCAGATAATCAATAACGTATATTGTGATATTTTCAAATTCTATTTCTTTGATATTGTATACAACCCTGAGAATACTGCAGTGGTGGAATGTATTTTCTTGAGGAAAAAGAAAATACAGTACAGTAAAAATTTACATAGTAGTGTTTTATATGCAATCATATCTAAATATTTTAAAAAGATTGACAAGTTTGTGTTATTAATTACATTTAGAATATTAAATAATACCATGTTATATTTCCAAACAAATAAAAGATTTCTACTGGCCCTAAATTTTTCTTGCCTGCTTATGTAGAGAATGTTCCATCATGGTTCGAGACTTGCCGGCAGACCATGGCGACGGATGGTGGTTCACGCAGCGTTTCTCCCGTGGACATTTCCAATCCCTTTGAGGGTTTTCAGGACCCGTTGCCCCTTGGCACGCATTCCGGTCATGACGTTCTTCCGGTCTTGGAGGGGGATCCCAAGGGTGTTTTTCTGGACAGTACACATCATAGTAAAGCTGATTGATTGGAGGCGAAATGTTGCCTGCATCCTGCGGTGCCCTGACACCCCCCCCCCCCCCCCCCCCCCCCCCCCCCCCCCCCCCCCCAACCTCTGTCTCCACGCCCTCCACTCCCTCCCTCCCGGTCGGACGAGTTCTCCTGGCCTACATATGTTCATCATCCCCTTTGATGCTGATACGCCCGCTGATCGGAGTGTTTTTGGAAATAGTAGGGCAGGCAGTCTTCTCTATCAAGCCATTCCCAAGTTCTTTAAGATCCAGGTGCACGATTTCACGCCAAATAAACACAGGAACTTGATTGCCGTGGATCACACTTCCTCCGGGGACTTGATGCTTTCGGACGTTACTGATATCTGTGGTTACGCGGTCCATTGTTACACGCCTCTGGGTGACTATTTGGTACGGTATGTGGCCCGGCATGTTGTTAACGTTAGTGCGGACAACATCAAGGCGCAACTGCAGGATGCTGACTGTTATAAACTTGCATGCTGCTATGGGAGATCTAGTATTATGGAGCAGGGTCAGCAGTTAGAATCAAGGTGTAACAGGGTAGTGACACAATTAGGCCCGGCCCCCAAGGAACATAGGAACATGGGAGTCCTTACCTATCAGTGACTGCGTTGAAATTGCTCCATGCAAATGGGTCACATCAGATGTGAGAGTTCTGTTTAGCCTACTGGGGACCCAGAGTCAAAACCTTGCCACCCCTTTCATCCCTCACAGACGCACAAAGAGCAAGTGACAATTTGCCACCACACTGGGAAGGCATCCAGAAAGTCAGTGAAGCTTTATAAACAACTAGAGGGATAACAATGATCTAATCCTTGACAAACAACTTTGTGAACGATTCACACAGAATGAAAAACATTGAAGATTAAGTATGAAACTTATAGTACCAAATGCCACTACCAGGTAGCCCAGCTTCTGCACGCAGCCATTTTCCTTACTCAGTTCATTCGCCGATGTCCATTTGGACAGTGGTGTTCTGGGTCTTTTAGATGTGGCAAGCCCTTCTGCTTCAAGCTAAGTGCTGGTCATCTTTGGATTTGTTCCTGCAGGGGCCATTTACTTTGTACTCTGTTCTATATTTTAGTTTTTGCAAATATACAATGCTGCCAACCATGAATACCAAACTCACATATAGCCAGGGTGTGCTGTAAAAAGATTGTACAATCAGAAAAAAACACCTTTTGTTGCATACAACTTTCTTGTTAATAAGGTTCTGTTCAAGTGGGAGTCAACTTTAATAAGAGTTTGATGAATCTGGATTACATATAGCTTGGTAAACTGTATAAACTCGCTCTACACTTCCACTGGGGACTACAAGTCTCATTTTGATTAAATTTTTCTTTTGGCTACTTAAATGTGCGTACATACTACCTCAAGTGATATGCATGATCTATGACTAAATTACAATTCTGCCATAAAATAGTACTTAGCTGCTATTGTTCCATAATTATTATACATATTACCTCGTCAGTCAAATGACGATGCAGGTATCTGAAAGCCAAAGGCCATGTACATTACTACTAAATGCTTCATATCACTAAACTCTCCAAATTCATATCTATATAAATAGTCTAGTTTTCTATAACCAATACTACTATGAGCTGGCTATGAGCACATCTAGTGTGCTGGAAAACATTTATACTGTATTCTTTACATTAATTTTTTCATGTTCTTATATACAACCTCTATATAAGCAGGATTGCATGTATACAGATAACAACATTTGTATACAACTTGATTAAATGAAATACATATGAATATTACAAAATAAGTAAGATGCTTTTTTGAAATTTTCCCAAAAATCATTTGCATAATATTCTCACCTTTTACTTCACTATGAAACTGATCATTTCATTAACATATGCTAAATATTAAATTCTCAATATGTACAAAATAAATTTACATATGTCAATGACACAAAGACAGCTTGAGGAATATTAAAGACAAATCACCCATCTTAAAGCACTCATACGTTCATAAGTGACTAAATATTGTAAACAAATTCAAAACTGCAAATAAAACAAATATTTAAGTTAAATTTAGGATAATTATAGGACAATAAATGTGTGCCATTTGAGAAGGGCCAAATGCTAAGTTATTCCTGGCATATCACGGTTGAAGGGAACAACCTATGTATCTTGATACCATTTCTATATCTCACACCAGGCAACAATGTGGTGATATTATAGAATTCAAATACTGTACATAAGTAGCTTCAGGCAGGACATTCCAAAACTGAGTAAAAATCTAAAATACATATAATTTTACTATATTCTTGGTCAAATTTTGAGGTTTGGCAATTGATTATATATAATGTATCAAATTTTACTATATTGAAATAAGGACATGCCAAACTTTAATAAAAATCTAAAATACAAATAATTTTACTATATTCTTGGGCAAATTTTTGGGTTTGGCAATTGACTATACACAATACATCAGATTTTACTGTGATGAAAAAATACTTTGACTAGTCTAATCCATATGTGGTATCAAGTGTTAAGCACACAGTAATATTAATTGACATTACAACAGAATAGTGTACACATTTAGTGCAATATAAATTATATTCTACACTGACAGGCTACACAAGAGAAGTGATGATTAAAGCCATTCTCTGGAATACTTGCAAGACAAGTGCCAAGAGACATCACTTCTTAGCCTGAAAGTAAACTTGCTGGTCATTTTCAGATCTGCCGGTGGTACTTGTGGGGGTAATTACTGCCTACACACAGGGACAGATACCTAGACAGGACTTGCAGCAAAGGCTTAAAAGACTAAGCATGGAGTTACCCACTTCCTAATTCTGCAGTGGACCGTATTCTCAGTGCTCTAAAAAGGTCAGAGGGAGAATTAATGATGACCATCAGTTGAGGATGGAATATGTGTTATTTTGAGTTGTGTAATCTATGCAATTCTATGCAATTTAAATAGTTAAGTTTTGATAAAAAAAAATCACTTTTGAGACAAAATCTATTCTCATATTTTATCTAATAAAGACAACATCACACATATTCACTCCAGTCTACAAATTTAATAACCCATAATAAATGAGAAAAACATTTCAAAAGACAAAATACAAGAGTTAAAGCAAACAATATATAAGTTAGCAAACAAGAAGACTATTATTTTTTATCAGAGCATTAAGTGTTAACTTAATCAGTATATTAATCATATAATTGCATAAGAATTCTACATATTATATATACAGTATTAATGTATATAAAGCTACTGTATATTGATTGATTGATTTATTTATTTATTTTTTTATTTATATACAAGAAGGTACATTGGGGATTAAGAGAGAACATAGAAATGAAGTTGATTTTACATTCTTGTAAAGCCACTAGCATGCATAGCATTTCGGGCAACTATGTTTGGCAATAAACCAAACATAAAATTTCCTGTGATTATTAACTACTGAAATCCTATCTTATTTTTCCTGCTTATTGTAAGCTCTTACTATGTCAGGTTTGTTTTGTTTTACAAACGACTGGCCATTTTCTTTCAAGAAAACAATGAGCTAGATTAAAAAGCAGCAGTGGGTACCACTGCTAATGCAGGTTCGAATCCTGGTCAGATCATAGATATAGTGATATATAGCGATATATAGCTTCAGGACCATTTAAGTTCTCTTTCACATTTGAAAGCTCAGTTTGACCTATGCATGCACCAGGATTTGATGAAAAACTGTGTCCAAAATGTACCACGAGAGTTGTCAGGGGATTGGTTGGTCATGGAGCTCATGTAGTGAGCTACAGGACCAGCCAATCCTTATAGGCAATTGCTGGTGAAGTGGTATTCATACTATAATTACCTAAGTGTAGTTACAGAATGAGTACATTCGGGGTGTCCCATCTTCCCAGCACTATTTTTCATACAATGCTTTAAAACATCTGTCGGCTTTGGCCTCCACCACCTTCTCACTAAAGTGTTCCGTCTACTACTCTGTTTGCAAAAGTGAATTTTTTAACTTCTTGTTTTTTGCATATTTGTTTCCTTAACTTGAATCATAGTTGCCAGTTTCAGGAATTCCTGTCAATTTTGTTAATTCTTGTTATTATTTTGTAAGTGGTGATCATATCACCTCTTTTTCTTCTAAGAGCTTTGGTGTATTTAACACCTCGAGCTCTAACCTTGTGGTACTTCGTAACTTATTTTTCAGTTATAAGAGCTATTTTGTAATATGCTATGCACCTTTCCTAGTTTATTGATGAGCTTCTTGAGATATCGGCGCCATATGACTGCTGCATATTCCAATTTTGCTCTCACAAAAGTCATGAACAGTTTCTTTAGTATTCCACTAGCCATGTAATTAAAAAGTGATTCTACAGTTGGAAAGTGCAGTATATACTCCTCACACAATGTCTTTTATGTGTTCCTCTGGTGACAGTCTACTATACAGAACCACCCCTAGATCTTTTTCTTTGTTAGAGTTATTTAATTCCTTTCCATGTAATTTGTATGTTGTGTGGTGCATTTTCAACAATTCCACATTCCATAATATGGTATTTATTAACATTAAATTCCATTTACAACATGTTGCTCCAAGAACTTATTTTATCAAAATGAATTTGAAGGGCATAACAATTGTCTAAGTTTCCTATCTTGCCTAGTAGCTTAGCATCATCAGCAAACATGTTCATATAATTCTGTATTCCTTCTGGTAGATTGTTTATGTAGACGATGAACATTACTGGTGCAAAAACTGAACCTTGTGGTATTCCAGTAGTAACATTCCTCCAATCAGCTA